ATCATCGGGGACATCAATGCCTCGGATGGCGAGGCCCTGATTGCCTCACTCCGTACGAGTCACCCTAATGCCTCTCACCACTTCGTCAACTGTGACGTCACCTCCTGGGAATCGCAAGTGAACTTCTTCAAGGAAGCCGCGCGCCTCTCTCCAAACGGCGCCATCGACATTGTCGTCGCCAACGCAGGCGTCAACCACGTCGGCCATAACAGCACCTTTGACAAGCCCGTCGCCTCCAAGTCGGACCCCGACGCCCCCAGCGAGCCATCCACCAAGACCATCGCCGTCAACATCACAGGGGTAAGCTACACGACGAACCTCGGCATGTTCTGGCTTCCCCGCAACGGCAAGCGCGCAAACGACTCGTCCAAGCCGAAGGACCGGTGTGTCCTGCTCATCGGCTCCATTGCCGGCGTCGTCCACCTCCCCGGCCAGACGCCGTACTGCATGTCAAAGCACGCGGTGACGGGACTCTTCCGCGCCATGCGCGCAACGGCGTACATGTCGCACGGCGTGCGGCTGAACATGCTCTGCCCGTACTTCATCAGCGACAGCAACATGTTTCCCCGCGCCGGTGAGGCTGCGCTGCTCGGCGGCGGTGCAGGCGGAGCGCGGTTCGGGGACGTGGTCGATGCTGCCACGAGGCTTGTCGCGGACGAGGGGGTCATCGGGAGGGCTCTTCTTGTTGGGCCGAAGATTAAGGATGAGGAAAACGCGGTTGAGGATGAGGTCGCGGCATGGGATGTTTATGCGGAGGATTACAAGGATTGTGAGGCTTTCGTTTGGAGGTGGGTTAGGCTTATGAACACGGTTGAGATGGCCAAGGGGTGGGTTGGTTGGGTGAGGGATTGTTTTGGGATCTTGACGAGGAGGTGAGAGGGGAAGGGAGGTTGTTGCTGACTGTGGGACACTGAGAAAGTCTTTTGTGCAAGCTCGCTGCGTCCAACCGTGTCGAGGCACACAAGTGGCTTAGTAATGTCTACAAGAAGACGAACATGGCAATATTACCAATTTGAGCAAGATGAGATGCTGCATTGTGAGATCTGATACACGAGAGATCTGTAGTGGTCGATCGATCCGGCTGACGGGAAATAAGGTCAAGCTTTTTGATCCTTGTGGTCCAGTCAGCATCTTGGTTTATACGAAGACTATCCGCGCTGTCACAGCGTGGGGGACCAACCTATGAGTCGGAAAAGAACTGAAGGTTTTGAACGTACTTTCGTGTCGTGTTCACGTCGACCTTCATGGGGTTGGTGTTCTCAAAGCTTCGAGGTGTATAAATAGACATGGGTTTCGCGCAAACTGCGTTCGACACCAAATCGGGCCAAGGGATCTTGGCCTCACTAAGAGGTCCTGAGTATCGATGTTCCCGGTGTATTATGGCTCATGTAGGGGCTCATTTGCTTGCCCTGATTGGTTGGGAAGTGTTTTCTCTACGAAGTGGCTCTCGGGAGTATGAGGGTAGGGGGGTATTACTACACGTATAGATTCGACGCAATGAAGAAGGCGGGTTCTGACGGATGGTCAATTATGGCCTGAGAGAGTTGAAACTGCCGGGGCTCAATCTATCAAGCTCTGCAGCGGAAACTTGTCGGGTGAGCAGTCCTGATGGATTAAAAGCTTGTGAATCCCGACATTTGCTTGGGGTGTGAGTGAGTGGTGGGTAGGTGTTTGGTTTATATAGTCTTGGACAGATGATTGTGTCGCGGAGTGTCAAGTATCCTTTGCGACTTGATTTAAGCTGCCCTGTTCTACGGTGTTTTCTTAAGCAATGGCATTAGCGTCGATCTCTTTTGTTCAAAATGGAGAGGAAAATGGACTTCCAGCTGTGTTGGTCTAAGCTGTGCCATGTCTGCACCCAGCTTAATGGCTATGCTAGAGCTTTCTGAGAAAAGTCGTGAGTATGCGCGGAGGAATATGCTGGAAGAGGTGACGAAGCTATCGGAAGAATGGCAAGAAGATGTGTCAGCTGATTGAGAGGTGCTGGTAAATGTCGAAACGCCCAGGCGAATTGGGTTATGTTCTGACCAAGATCACCAGGATATGTCATAAATATGCTCCCGAGTAAGCCGAATGATACACGATCGAGACGGCATATGGTTCTCAAACCTGTTTAAAATGGGACATAGCTGCTTGGAAGCAGCACACCAGCTCTGATATCGGAACTGCAGGGAATCAGTACATCCGGATAATGCTGAGATTATAGGAGACGCCGATGCAGGCGAGAGACACTACTCATCTTCGGAGACGACTTGCTGTCTTGGGCGCCTTACATGAGCCTTGGGGTCGTCGCCAAGTAAGCCAAACAAGGCGATGAGCGCCACCACCAAAACCAACTAAAACCAACATCTTTGCGGTCGAGTGGATATATCCGCAGCAAGCAGCATAATTATAGACATGAGCTTCGCAAAGTATACGCCTCAGGCTCATGGCCTCGCTGTATCTGCATATAAGTCTAATTATCCCAGAGAGTCTTGTTTTCTTGAGCCAGGATCGCCGCTAATTTTGCCACCGCCTTGAAGATTCCAGAGTATCGATGATGGCAACAGAACAATCGACGAGCTCAAGCTAAAAAACCTTTGGTTCCCCAACCCCTTTGATCTTCATTACGTTATTGTCATCCTCTCATGTTGCCCGTTGTCTATTCCAAAGGTTTGCCTCCGAGCTGATATTCACATCGAGCCTACTGACCCCTTCATGTACTGACGCGTGATAACAACCAAAGAGGGAGACAAGATTGATATAGTCTCGCTAATCTGTTGAACTCAGAAATGATCATCATAAGTATGTAATATACTTTTAAGCGTTAGGCATTTTCAGATCATCGGAGCGATGAGAAACCTTCGCATGTTCCGAACATGTATACAAGCAGGGAGCCGTAAACTAATTTGCTCTGCGATCATACATCCGTCCCGATGTGTCCTGGAGGGATTTCCATGTCTGGCAGAGATTGCATGCTAGTTGCCAGCTCATTGATGTCGACGCTTCGTCCGTGGATGTGGGGTATGCGATCTGGGAAATGAATGGTTGTAGAGGGGAGAAAGAGGAGGTACATTAACCCTGGGGAGAGATATTGAGACAATCTTGATGCTTTGTATAAGTTCCTTGATGACCCATCAGGTATTAGGTAAAACTTGAGGTGATGTCTATACTTTTGCAGAACGTAGCGTCAGCGTGAAGATTCGGGCTTCATGCAAGCGTCAGTATTATTGCATCTGTTTGTTTGGGGACGTCAAATAGACGCAGATGATAGAACTTCAAGGTCTTCTAGACAGAACCGGCAAATTGTACTCTTCACCGCGAATGGTCATTGCGATGTCTTTTGAAGAGAGTGTGACCAGCAGAAGCGATGCGATGGGGGATGGAATCTCTGACATGGAGAACCCAATACATTCCAGCATTTTTATGGATGCAAAAATCCGAATACGTATGAAGAGGTGGTGGACGCCAGCGTGTATGCAAGATATCCCCTTGTTCTGGACCCGGTTTCCAAGTGAAGCGTATGAAAGACTTTAGGCCCCGTACTCTGCTATGACAGGCCTTTAAAGCCACTGTACAGCGCTCTGGATGAGTCTTTTATTCGTGACGAGCAAAAGCCTATGAAGCCTACGTCATTTAAATACTTCCATGTGTGTACGATGTTCCAATGACAGGCATGGTCTAGCAGACTTCGGGCAGGGTTTCCCGGAGGTAGCCGAGACTAAGAACATTGTCTTTCAGATATTCTGATGTAGTGCATATATACTATAAATTAAGACCACTTGGGCTATGAAGAGACAAGGGGGAATCATAGACTTTGGCATACTTCAGCCAAGTATGAATACGCTGTGTCAGTGGCGCACTCGCATCGTTCTACGATTAAACCCGTGTTTTCGGCAGAAAGGGATCTGCAGAAGATGGTCGATTTGGCTCATATGATACACTTATGAATAATCCACACAGCTTGGGGAACTATGAAGGATGGCGAGGTTGGCGGTGAGATGGTTACTGAGTATGGAAACGCAGACCGCTCGGGTTCTTGTGTTGTAAGCTCAAGTTTCTCTTTTCCTACTCAATAAGAAGGATATCTACACCATATTCTGGGGAGCTGTACTCAAGCCGGCGAGACGAGTTTCAGTAAGTAGTTTTTTGCTCTTACGTGGACGGTCTACACTTCTCACACGGAAAGAGTCGACGTCTCGAGTAGCTCAGCTCGGAAATCAGACCATGAAAACAGCCACACGATTTGACTTTAGATTTTCTTGTTTGTAAGATGGCGAGCCCACTGAAACATCTTCATGGCGTTGATGGTGGTGGCCATTGTCTATCTATTACATCGACTATGTAGCTGGCGTTGAGGACCTCGGGAACTTTGTGTTGCGGCTCGATACAGCTCCAAGCGGTCTAGCTGCCGTCAGGCTGATATAGTAACAACAGAAATGACTCATCTGGTGCCAACGGATATGTAGGTACCGTAGGTACCAATACGCAGGACCCAAAGCTCATTCCATTACGAGTGTCTGCGGCGATGGACCAACGACCAACGCTACTGGATAGTTCCTCAAACACTCCCAGGTGGCCTTGAATCTGCAGAGCTACAGCAATGCTTGAACCTGATTCTATATATGTGGTTGATTTTCCTTCACACATTCACCTAGACGGACCAGGCAGCTGCTACCCGGTTGTTGGTCTTATCAAGTGCCAAAGGCAGTCCGGAAGCCGTCACCTGAGCACCAGCTTTGACCAACCAACCAGAGCGAGCTGAACAACAAACGACCAAGAATACTGGGACGAGAAGTTCCACCTAACGGTCTTTCTTCTCGTCTGCCCTTACCTCCCTCGCTCTTTCTCAACCAGAGTCCTCTTTCTCCCCCATCAAATCCAAGTCTAGCTGATACCAACACCCTCCCCAGACCACACTCCTCGCCCTGCTTATCTGTCAATTTCGTCCTCGTAGGTCCTTTCACCATACGGCCATTGCATGAAGTTTCAACTAACAACCGGCGCAGGATCCTCCCATCATGCCTGAGCGCCCGAGCGAATTCCGCCAGCGCGGCGAGACCACCGACGACTGGCTGGACAGATTGCGACGTGTCAACTCTGATGCTGGCGATGATGTTGACGGCTTCTCCAAGATGATGGCGGAGATTGAGCGAGAGACGGAAGAAGCTGCTGGCTTTCGCTGGCATTCGCATGAAACCCAGCAGCGACAGGACGCCATTCTGGCGCACTTTCGGGACTTCGTCAAAAAACTCGAGAGGCTTTCAGACGATGTCACCGGCGACCAGCTTGAGGAGGCATGCTTCCCTCCTCCCAAGGCGGGCGACTCAGGTCGCTCCAAATGGAAGTCCCTCTCGCGCAACCTGAAGTATTTCATGGGATTCGTCGTGCGCTTTGGCGTGCCCCCCGGTATCCACGACGCTGCTGTCTCCGACAGCTGCCTCGCCCAGTACCGGGATGTCCTCATGTTCTGGGTTTCGAGGAGCTACCGTCTGCGCGACATGGATGGGCCTCGGTCCCACGAAGTCTCCAATGAAGTGACGGAAGTCGTGCAACATCTGGACGCCAAGCATGGAATCACCCGCCGCTCTCAAAGCATCGCCGAGAAATCGTATGTCGACATCGTGGAGCTCCGTCAAATGTTCGATGAAGGAATGAAGGCGGTGGATGGGAAGAACACCATCGGTCGTTAAGACTTGGGGGTACTCGCTGAGAAGCGTCAAACACCTATAGATTCAAGATAACATCACAGTCATGGGCACTCAAGGAGAATTCGCTGCGATGGAATTGGCGGGATCTCGTCTGTCTTTTGAAACCGATATGATTAAGTAGTCGCAGTATCTCAAACATACCTGGGCTCTTGAAACAGAGAATCTTGAAGTGCTGGTGCCCTCCGGTATTTACCAAACCGTTGTCAAAAAATTATCAAGGCCACTGAAAGCATGCTCCTCTATCAGGTCTCACTGACTTGGTTCGTGGCTCCTACAGACTGCCACATTTAAACAGCTTTTCCTGTCGGGGCTTGCGTGTCTTGACGGAGCATAGAACAACATTCATGCGTGAAGCAGATGCCGCTCCCCGGTGTCTAGCTTCAAAGAGAGGAACACGTAGGGAAGGGTGACCAACCTTTCAAACTCAGTAGCCACTTCCCCAGCACCTCAAGTCACGTAAGATATCTAAGCAGGAAGCAAGACGATCTACGTCTTAGACACATTTCCCCTCTTTTATATCAATATGCCACACGCCAATCTAACATAGAACTTTAGAGTCGTCCTCAAATGCCGCTATAGCTCTATTACCACGCCAGTCTACACGAATACTATCAAAACTACACCCTAAAGCTCTGAAAAGCTCCCAGGAACCCTTAAAAGCAATATCGGCCCCTAAAACAGAGCCAAATAGCAAAAGATTGGACGAACAGGGAATCGAACCCTGGACCACTCACAGATTGGACGATGGAATCATCCGATGCTAAGCGAGTATTATACCACTAAACCATTCGCCCATGATGATTTCGCCCGGACTTGAACCGGAGACCTTCAGTGTGTTAGACTGACGTGATAACCAACTACACCACGAAACCATTTGAATTGTTGAAAGACATTTCGAAATGTGCGTATATGACGGTCGGCGACGAGGCCGGAAGTTGTCGTCGAGCGAGTATTGGGTGGTGGGCGCGACGTGGAGGGGTGCATTCCGGCGCGGTGGGTCGGCGAGATGAGAGACCAATCAATCTCGGGCTCACATCACGTTAAGAGAAGGTCGGTTGCGATTCAACTCTAAAACCAAGGTTGTGTCTCCCTCGGTTGCGCTGTGTCGGGCAGTGATGTTCTCTCGCTGCCTGTGGCCGTTATCTCATCCGGTCATGCCAGCGTGGGGGCACTCGACGGTATCGAGCAGTCTCCCAAACGAATGGTAGGTTGACAGGGACGCGGACAAGGGTGAGACGGCTGGTCGTTGTCGGAGCCTACGGCATCTTGACCCGATGCTGTGATTGTGTCAGCCTCGTATTTACGCCGCCTTTGAGCTCACACGATGGCCGGGGCGGAGTCGAGTCCGGTATGTGGCAGTCGATGTGCGGATGATCCCATCACCTGCCTGAAGATCTTGGCTCTATCCGTACTCAGCCAGCCATGGAGTTGAATATGCCATGTGACCTGTGGATCTATAGTACGAGATCGGCACAGCCCCAGCCTTGAGCCGCATCCCGCTCGTGGACGTCCAGCTCGGTCGGGTACTCCTGGGACGGCGGTGGCAGCGGAGACACACTGGCTCGTCATCACGAAGCACGTGGCGTACGTGGTGGTACACGACAAGCGGCAGCCTGCCTCCCCGGAATGATTATCCAATAGTCAGGCAATGACAAGCGACTTGGAGGATGAGTCCGGAACCATGGTGATACGCAGAAACCCGTGCCTCATGGGAGGGCGTCTTTCAATCCAGTCCTGGATTGCAAGGCGCGGCGCGATGGGATCACTCAACGAGACCGCGCGGCCGACCCGGCAGTTTCTTGAGTGGCGGTAGCAGGCTCAATCGCTTTCGGGTATCAACTTGACCGCGCGCTTCGGGAACTCTGGCCCCTGATGATTCCGGGCGACTCGGGCCCGACCTTCGCGCGAAAGGAACATCGAGCTCAGACTTTGGAGTGCTCAATATAGCAGCACGGGCCAGTGCGTTCTCTCCAAGGCAGATCAGTTTGTTGGCTGTCCTCAGGTACGCAGGCAAGGCGAAGGCCTGTGATGCGTGCACAGAGCCTGGGGATAAGTCTGCACAGTTTAGCGCAAGGTCGATATTGACCACTGGGGATTGCGAGATGAACTAGAGACTAGCTCGTGCGATTGCAGATCCTCCGCATAGAAGCACTGGGAAACCCATGGCAATGCGGCGCAGGCTACACCAGGTTTGGCTCAAAGGACAACGTCGACAGCATAAACATCGAAAGACTCGATATTGGGTGGCACTTGCGGCAATTGCGTTGGCAAAATTTGACCGCGGCAGAATGGTACAACGGGAGTTTCGACCAAGGACGACAATGACAGCTGTCTGTAGAAGAATGGACGGTTGAAAATTGCATCGACAGATGTTTGCTACGATGAAGCAGAAGTCATCAATAGTCGAAATGAGGTGACCCGGATTTTGGGACCGAGTATTGGGGGCCGAGCATTTAGGGGATCGACGACGAATTGGCGCATTGACTTGGTCAGGGTGGTTAGAGGATTTAGACTTCCTGCCTGAAACTCTGTGGTGCTAATGGTTCAGTCCGTCTCATCTCCGCCACGTGGAAAGGTGAGATGGCGGAGAATTGGCCTGGGCGCCTGTCTCGCAGTAGACATCTCGGCTCTTTGGCGAGTATGGTGTCAGTTTCCACATGGCTGTTCGAGAATAAACGACATCAGCCATGTCGATGGAGATCATATCGAACGAACCAGGGGCGAACCGCTGTCGAAAATCTCTGCCGCTGCAACGACCGAGGCATTAGGACGGACCAGGGCTCCAGGTGGAGGAACGTTGACAGGCCGTCGCTGGCACTTGAATGGCCCAGGGTCTAGACGCCGTTTGCCAAGTCTGTAACCCGGCAGACCGGTTCCTCGGTTCAAGCAGAAGTTGTTCCTTCGAGGGTAAAGCCCGCAGGCCGGACATGGAGAGCGGGTCAAGGAACAGCAATCTCAGAATCGAGATGTCTTGTTTGGTTGGCAACGGGGTCGATATGCGGGTGATGAGGAGTAAACGAAACCACCTCATCTCAGTAATCCAAAAGCATGGAGAACAATGTCATCCAGCAGCACAGACAGGAGCTCATACCGAGTCGGGGGCCAGAATCCGGCCTGGGTTCCTGGACAAGCCATGGACTTGCAACGTCATGGTGATGGTGATAGGAGGGTTGAAGTTAGGATCTTGCCTAGAAAGGACGCCCAGGCCGAGGAATGGAATGTCGCAGTCGTCATGGCCTCGGTATCGGGCCGTAGTGATGTGACAGAAAGTTGAAGGGAGTGGACTTTGCGAGAAGCGAGAAGCGAGAAGACTGCAGTCGCATCTGCGGCTAGCATTCTGGGGGCCCCCGGAATCCCACCAGTCGGTTCACAGTTGTAAGGCGCAAGGGAGCCTGTTGTTGAGATGTTGATATCAGGCTATTTGGGAAGGAGAGAAAATTTTCATGACGAGCGCGGGTTGGAGGCAGAAAATGACGAGTTGCCATTGGCGAATTAACGGCGAGTTCATAGTCTTGGCTTGTTGGTTTGCTCTGGACTGGCCGATTGCTCACCGGGGATAAGGCGGGAGGCGGCTGACCCTCGTCTATCCGGAAATTTGCGAGTCTTTGCAAGCTGCCTACTTGGTAGAGGTTGAAAGTGACAGGCGGACAGTGACGTACGTGTCTTAGTCTTCGGCTCCGAGTGTCCGCGACAAATTTGGTTCGGTTGCGGGTTATTCGTGGATATACGGGTATCCGCGGTGATGATTCTGACAATTGATTGAGTGTAGACGAAGGATTTGTGGTTGATAGGGGTGGACCTCTTGGCAAGTCATGAAGTGGTTGACAACGTCTGAGGGACTGGGGTCCAGGAAGTGGGAGACGGGTCGCGGTCGATTCTTCGGTGGTTCCTGTTGAAGGTTGTGACCGGATCGGGAAATGTCGATGAAGTTGAAGAGTCGGGTGCCAGTTTAACCCCTCATAGAGCGCGTGCGTGTTCGGCAGTGTCCAAGGTGACTTTGGTCGATGAAGTGCATGGAAGCATGCCCCGGGCTGGCATGGACAGGCTGTGTTAGGATACGGTGGTGCATGTGGATCAGAGCATCTCGCAGACTCGCAGGATGGAATAGCTGCAGCGCCTTGGTCAGTCCCGTCTGCTGTCGGTGGCTTCCATCCTTACCTAGCTACCTCAGGTAAGGTAGATAGGTACCTTAAGGTTTAGAGCTCGGGGAAGAAAGGAGCGCGAGTTGTTGCATTGTCGGCTGCGAGGCGGTGGTGGAGGAGACGGAGACGGAGAAGGAGGAACAGGTAGCAAGGCCTTAGGTAAGGTACGAATGCATGGCCGATTCCCTGTGCATTGGCCCTGCATCTGCATCCAAGGTGCATTGGCTGGAGTGCGGCTGTGCATTTAGTCCCTGGGAAAGGGATGCAGGAAGCAGGAGAAAATGCGAGCTAAAATGTTTGGTAGACGCAGGATGGAAACTCTGATACGGAGATGCTGGAAGCTGCATTCAGAGGGAGTCAGTCATGCTCTTGCCAGTGGTTGGACTACCCCGAGTGCGTAGGTGATGCGGGCAGCGGACAGGAAGAAGGTGGAGAGGAGTGTCGTGGAGTGGAGACTTTCCCTGCCATGTGCCGATAGCTACCTTGCCTTAGGTAAGATTCAAGGGCTAGTGGGAAAGAGCAGCCGGGATGCTGTGTCCTCGGCCGAGTGTCAAGTCAGAGACTGAAGAAGGAGCGAATGTGTCTACCTATGGAAGGTATATGGATCCGTAATGTAATCAATCGCCTAGGTACCTAGGGGAGGCACGATTTGACGGGAGGCGTTGATTGCAGGAAGGAGAGAGCTCCCCACTTGGTCAATGACGCAGGGCAGGCGCACTCTGCATCGACCTCGAGTATCTTCGCCGGGAAATAGCTTGCAACGGAATACACGGCTTTGGTCTCTACCTCTTACCTTACGGACGAAAGTGCAGCTTGGGTAGGTAGGTAGGTTGCACGAGA